GAAAAAAAAAAAAAAAAAAAAGTTGTCTGCCTCAGTCGCTAAAAGTAGTGCATTTACCAATACAACTGAACAAACAGTACTGTGAGCTCAGCTTAAGCTTTGTGATTTAGCTGTAACATACAACATGTAGCTGTACTTTTTTTAGAGATCCATAAATAAATTTAGCAAAAGAAAAATAAAAGCTTTCATCGTTTGCTCTGATCTTTGTCCTTTTAACAGCCATGAGAAATTCCCTTTTGTTTTTCACTTTCATAGCTCTTTTTATTGCTTATTTTCTATTTCAGGTACATGCCGCTGCCCCTGCTGGTAAGACCCATGTTCTGATTATTATTATTATAATTTTTTCTTTTCTTTTTCGTTTGATGCTGGAATTGGGCTAATTTGTACTATATGTTATGGGCATGGTTCTATTGTTTTTGCAACTCAGGGCCGTTGATAAAGCACTTGAATTCTCTACTCAAATGGTCTAGGTCTACCTCTAAAACTCCCCAATCAGGTAAACCCCAGTAGAATTTATGTTAATTTGTGGGTTCATTTGTTATTGTGTAATAGTTGGAGGAGATGTTTAATTTTTCTTTGTCTTTTGTGTCGTTACAGATGGGAATATTCTTCAATTTGAAGATGGCTACTTAGTTGAGACTGTTGTTGAAGGAAATGGACTTGGTGTTGTTCCATATAAGATCCGTGTCTCACATGATGGTGAACTATTTGCTGTTGATGCTCTTAATAGCAAAATTGTTCGAATTACTCCCCCATTATCTCAGTGTAAGCTTCTTGCCCTTTGGTTAAATTACTACAGTTCCTTTTGATTTATCAGCTGATTGCTTAATAAATCACTGACTGTGCAGATAGTAGAGCAAGATTGGTTGCTGGTTCATTTCAAGGTCACACTGGCCACGTGGACGGGAAGCCAAGTGATGCTCGTTTTAAAGATCCAAAAGGAGTTACCATGGATGACAAAGGAAATATTTATGTTGCTGATACTGCTAATTTGGCTATTAGGAAGATTGGAGAAGCAGGTGCTCATTGTTTGTGACATCTCGCCTTTATTTTGAAGTTCTTTGACAGACATATATAACATTTTTTCTTGGGTTACTTTTATGTGTCGAGAAATAACTAGGATTAAGTTACTGCATCCCCCCAACACTACCTACCTTAGAGGAGATTGGCTGTGCTTTACTTATGTACACAAAGCAAAAAGCAAAAAAATATCTTTTTTGTGAGTAAAGGTTTCTTAAGCTTCTTTCTTATTTTCAGGCGTGACAACAATTGCTGGAGGAAAGTCTAATGTTCCAGGATACAGGGATGGGCCAAGTGAGGATGCACAATTCTCAAGCGACTTTGATGTTATATACATTCGGCCAACTTGTTCATTACTTGTTGTTGATCGAGGAAATGCTGCTCTTAGGCAAATTTCTCTCAGCCAGGAAGATTGTGACTACCAGTACAGCTCAGTATCAACCATAGGTTTGAATCCTTTTAGAATAGTTGACTTCTTTGATCTTGAAATACTATGAATAGTATATGATATGTATATATAAGTGTTCAATATCCTTGATATCTATCTGATATGTCCACTTGGTATGAGAAAATGAATGTGGATGCATTGTTTTTCTTCTTGAAGAAAGTGTCAAGATTTGGCCCCTTTCATTCGGTTTAAGTTACTGTTTGGCTTGAAATATTACTTCAATCCGAGAATTTTAGACTAAAATCATTGGAGTTGGAGAATTTTATGGTGACAAAAAGCACGTGGTGGGATGAGTTATAAGCCTTTAGCAACATTCTGACATGTTTTTATTTCAGGGGGGCATTGAGCACTTTCTGGTAATAACTAATTCTTCATCTTGAATACGAATGTGCCCGACATCAAAATGGGTTCTTATAGATGAATTGAGAGTGCATCGTCGGCTGCTGGCCTTCATCCGTTAACTAATATTAGTTTAGAACTTAGTTGTCTCCAATTTTGAGCTTGTTGTCCTTCATGGATGTCCCTGTGAGCATACCAGCATTAGAAGTATATAAATTAATATGTTAGTCCATATAAGATACTTATTTTACTCACAAGCTCTTTAGTTTTTAAACATGTGATAGGTCAAGGTAGTATTGGAATGTTAAACAAAACCTACCAAAATGTATCCTTCCAAAATATAAAAACGCTCTGCTGAAAGACGGACTTTTGGGCTCAATCAGAAAAAGTTGAAGAGCGGGAGGGAGAGAGGAAAAGGAAAAGGGCTTGTCACCTTGGTTCCCTGCTCTATAAGTGTCTCGCTAGATCCAAGCAAAAAAAGTATTAACACTTTCTACTACCCACTCTCAGGTTAAGAAGATGTGAAAATGGCATTATGAGAAAAGAAAAATACCAACTAGACTCACACTACTCATATCAGTACCGACCAATTAATGGATGGATTTACAGAACATTAACTATATTAAGTTGTCCTGTTTGTGTAATTTTAGATTTTTACCACTGGTTGCTCAGCGTGGTAATACATTGAATTGCATTAAGATGGTTCCGTTAAGTTCTATCTAACTTCATCTTATACTTGTGGCAGATATTGTCATGGTTATTGGTGCTATTTTAATAGGGTATGCTGCGTGTATGCTCCAGCAGGGATTTGGTTCCAAGATGGTGGGTGATTCTGATCCATGGTCTTCTTTCTAGCATTACTGTTGTGTGATTATTTTTCAACCATCAATCTCTTAATCAGTTGTTGATTTCTGTGTTACTCGGATCCTCCTAGAATGCCGCCATGTGTGTGTCGGTTCCTCCAAACATAATGCATTTTTTGAGGATCTGATACGGGTGCGGCGGTATTTTGGAGTATCCGAACAACATAGGTTGATTTTCATATTCTTGGCTGACCAATGAAACATTGGAATGCCTTTCAAGATCAAGTTAAATGTCCGTGGAGTTCTAAATTAAATAGAGGCTGTATTTTCTAGGAAAATCTGTGATTGCTTAGAAATATTACGTCATTTCAGTCTATAACTACGTCTTGGCATAAAGATTAAAAGTTACTCCGGCCCACATTGCTTCCAAGATTCTGATAGGACATACACTTAGTTGTTCATCCTTCAACTATTGCATACAAGATTGACTATGGCCTCAAAAACATATTGTAAATATTTTTCGTACTTTATATGAAACGATATGCTTGTTTAATCAAGCTGTTTCCTAATTGTGTATATTGCAGCAAGTACAGGTGGAAGTGGAGCAACAGGAACCTTCTTTAATCAAGGAGAAGCCCACTCCTGTTGTTGAAATTGTTAAAGAAGAA